GAGACGGAACAACACACTTTATCAGGTTTGAAAATTAAGTTTTAAAATTCTAAGTATTGTAGACACTACCATTTTTTTAATCGAGATTATACTTACAACTTTTTTCATTACTTGGTCTTTTTGCTTTTTCAAACTGAGTTTGAGATCCTCGTTATCAAAATTATCAAATTATCTTTTTGAAAGTTATGTTGATTTATCTTATTTAGTTTATCGATTGAAATCGACCAAAGTATCTCTTAGTATCTTTTTCGTTATTATAGGTACAATCTTTCTCATAATATGAACCATTTTGGAAAATTAGTATTAAGATCAAAGTACTTAACAAAAATAATAATTATATAGGGATTCACAAGTGAGGTTCTTGGCTGGTTTTCTCAAATGGGTGAAACAAAGCAGTTGATGACAATGATTGCCATTTCGCAAGTGATTCTGATCAAGAAAATAGCATAGTTTGGAAGTAAAGTGTGCAAATTCTATGGCTTCATTGAAATTCGGTCTTGTGATTAAAGGGAAGTTCAATTTTTTTGTTCGCTCATTATAAATTGTTATGTTTTAGATTTGTTTGGTATGTGGAATCCCTATACAAATTAGTTTTATATAAATGTAGAGTTTCATGAAGCACACCAAGTGCTGATTAAAGTCCTCAAAGAACTAAATGTGTTTTTGGATGAAGAGCAGGGCTGATGAGTATTTTGTATACAACCATGTATTTTGGAAAATCCCAAGCCTAATTATAAAGAACGAATACCCCTTTTGTATCAAAAAAAAGTATATGGCTTTCCTATACCTCAAAGCACTATGATACTGATTTATTAGTGTAACATACACGTTTTGAAATCGTGTTATGTAATTTGAAAAGTTAATAATATTATGAAATATTATGTGAAATTGAGTGTTGAGTTCTAACAGATAGTTTTTACTAGAAATGAAGTAAAACTATGTTTAGAATCACTCACAAATTATTGGAAGTCTTATGAGATTCCAATTAAAAGTCAAATAGTGAAATTTAGCGAAAATATAAAATTTGAAATAAGTAAAATTTTATTATTGAAAGTTGTAGATAATCTCGTTAGAAACACGTAGGCGAAAACTCGTCGAAATCCGAGTTATAACGAAGAAGTTATGACCAATCGAAGATCCGCGATAAAACCGGCACGGTGCCAAATGACGTAAAAAGTGAGTTTTTGATAAGCTACTTTTTAGCCTTAGTGATCTAAATGACAGCCATAGTATTCGTTAAACCGAGAAGTTCGATAAAAAGAACGCCAAAATCTGACTTCGTATGAGGAAGTTATGATTTTTACAAGTTTCAGCTTTTACAAGTTTCAGCTTAACAGTAGACAGCTAAAAACTCGAATTTTAGATCGAGTGATTTTTAGCCGACACAAACTAAACGAGAATCGAAGGTCTCGCCATTAGCAGTACAACGCTAAAAAGTCTGACAAAAACGGACGTCAGATGAAGAAGTTATGAATTTTTAACGGATTTACCAGTCCCGGTCTGTTAAAAATAATAATATAAAAATAAAGTCAAAATTTTCCGACGAAGTCTAAACGAAAGTTGTAGAGCATAATTTTCTCTACGCGTGCATATAAAGAACGTCAAAAACGGAGCCCGTATGCAAAAGTTACGGATGTTAGAAGGTCGGGGCACAATTTTCGAGAAATCTCGCAAGGATAAGGCTGATTTCGGTGAGTCATCGCACCACGTGTCCGAGCCGAAGACCCAGCTGCTGACGCGTCGCCTTCTGATTCGTCCGAGCAACGGCTCAATCCTCGTGTCCGATCCATGACTCATCCTCGCATGAACAGTACCCGCGTGTCGCTTCCGGATTCGACCAACTTCGTGACCAGTAGCCTTCCGACGCGCCTCGCACACCCGTCCGAAGCGAGGCCTCGCAGCCTGCCACCTGCTTCGCTCTGCTGCTGCCGCGTGTCGCTGCTGCTGACTCCTCCCTTCTGATCGGCCGACCCTCGCCCTATAAATACAAAGCATGCGAGCCTTGCCGAGGAAAATGGAGAAATTGCCAAATTTTCACCCTTTCTCAATATTTTTGGTATTTTGGCTTTCCCCGAAGCCCCGAGATTAATTCCAAAGCCTGAAACGCGCCCCGAGATTCCCGAGAAGCCCGAAAAATTTATCTTTTCGGTTTCGAAGCTCTACCTTCGCAGAGCCCGGTTTTCAAGAAAACTCCCGGTTTTCAACGACGAAAGTCATATTTAGAGCTGAAGTGCTGCCCAAATTATTATTTTGACCCCCGGTTAATTCACGGTGAGTTTAATATGTAGAAACAATTGTATGTTATGTGTTATATGTGCTATGTGCTTTTCCATGTTATCCTCTCGAGTTGTTATATCCGCTATTTTTATAGCAAGGTTGTACCTCTGACTTGAAGTGTATGACATAGGCATCACTTGGGTATTGGTATGAACCGTTGACCATGAAGTGTATGACATAGGCATCACTTTGGCTTTGGTAGAATAATATTCCTGAGTATTTTCCCGTGTTATTTTTATTTCTGCTATTTATGATAGCAAAGCTATACCTTTGACCATGTGATCAGTTTAAGAACTCAGATTCACAGTGGTACTGGTATGTAGCCTCTGGCCATGTAGAGCATGTCCCCTAGTAAGTGAATGACTCTATTCTATGGCATTGGCAGAAGGTTAGACAGGGCGTGAAAACCTGAAATCTACCTTAATGTTAATCAGAAATTGTTTGTCTTCAGTGCCATTTGGGCCGAAGCGTTATTGATGTTTATCAAGTATGGAAATTGTTATGTCTCAATGATTGTATATCTTTGAATCAAATCAATAATTGTTAGGGAAAAACTTATCACATTATGCCTTTGTTGTTCCTTGCTCCTATTTGCTTCTGCCATATTGGTATATATATGGCATAACGTTATATTGTATCTATTATTGAACTCACTAAGCGTTATCGCTTACCCCTGCCAATATTTTAACATAATGCAGGCAATAAGCACCCATTATAGTTGGAAGACTTAGAATAGTTGTAATATTATTTTTTTGTATTTTGGTTTAGGTTTGTATAGATTTACAATATCCTGCGTAGTCATGTAAAATCTTAAAACATAGTCGGTTTGTATCCAATCTTTTGTAATGACTTTATCAATGTAAAAATATTATTTTATGAATATGCATGTAGCATGTTATGGAGTAACTATATTGTCAAGTATGAAAGTTTGGGTCTTTCAGAAATATGAAAGTATAGAAAGGGGTTCTTTCAATTAGATTTGCAGAAGTGATGAATATTCAATCAATAAATTGCCGTATAATATACTAGACCAATGAGGTAGGTTATTTGGATTGGAAATATAAAACCTTTTGACAAATAATGTGTATTCCGACAAAAAAAATCTGTCATACAAAAACACTTCATCTATAAGTAAAAATACGTATTTATATTAAATTATACATACCTCAGGGGGTGTTTGGTTAGCTTATTTAACTTTTTTTTAGCTTATTAACGGTTCCACACCGGTATAAGCTAAAACGGATGTTTGCATAGAAATAACTTATACCGGTGCCATACCAGTAATAAGTCAAAATCCATAAGTAAAACACCTCTAACTTATCAACTTATAAGCAATAAGCTATAAGTTGAAAAGTATTTATGATTTTGAGTAAACTACACGAATGGTCCCTATGGTTTCGGATAATTTGCGTGTTTGGTCTATAACTTATTTTTTTAACTCGAAAAGTCCCTATTGTTTGTTTTTGTTACGCGCTTGGTCGCAGTCTTACCTAAAAAGACTATTATTTAAATAGGGAAAAATGGTGGGGTAGGTAAGGTAAGGTAATGTGAGAGGTGGGGTTGGGGTGTGTTTATTTAAATAAATTAAAAAATCAAGGGCAAAATAGTCTTTTAGGTAAGACAGGGACCAAATGCATAACAAAAACAAACAGTAAAGATCTTCTGAGTTAAAAAAATAAGTTAGGGACCAAACACGCAAAATACCCTAAACTATAGGGATCATTTGTATAATTTACTCTATGATTTTTCATAAACTTAACCAAACACCCTCTAATAATAAAATATGTATAGAAAAATTTAATGATAAAATATTTAAAAAGAATTTAATGATAAAATGTGTACACCTTTAACACTAAAATCAATATTGTAATGAGAAGTGTTATCTTACATGATACAATCCAAGATGATGAGAGATAAATAGTGGTCTGGTTGCGATCTCACTAAAGGCCAAGGAGAGCAAAGAATGCCGATAATATTAATTATATATTATATACTAGGTTATAACTCGTGAAAACCACCGTTGTTATTTTTATAATTATTGTATGGACAAAAAATAAAATAAATTATAAACAAAAAAAAATAACATAACTTTGATTGTAAGAAAATTAAAAAAAAAATTCTTTTTAAAATAAAGATATATTATAAAAAAATAGAAATTATAAAAGAAAAATTAACAAAGTCTTATTAACAATAATTATCTATATTAAAGTGCATGTAAATTTGTAACATTAGAACTGATTTACTGAATTTTAGGACCTGATTATGAAATCAAATCGTATTGTGGTATTTAGATTTTGAATTTTGGAAGAAGTTTATTAGCATAAACGTGGCAGGTAAAGAACATGACACATAACGGTTTTAGATTAAAGCTATTTATTTATTAGAAATGAATTTTTTAATAAAATAAACTTTAATAGTCATACCAGTATAAAAACTATAGTTTGCTGCATGTACCGGTTTTTTTTTTCTACATTTCTTATAGACATTTAAAAAAAAAAAGATCCGTGACCAAACCCAGAAGGGCGTGCTACAATTTCAAGTAAAGCTGTTTGTTGAACTTAGCGGTTGGTCGATTCTCACTGTTCAACCACCTTTTCGGTCTCTCTCTCTCTCTCTAAGACTCTTCTGTTTCAGAGCACACCAAAATGAAGTAATCAATCAACATGGACCCACAAATGTCGCTCTCTTTTACTTTCCTTTTCTTCTTCTTCCCCCTCTCTCAATTTAAATTCATCTTCTCTCCGCATATCTCGCCAGATGCTAAAATCACTGTTTCAGGAATTGGATGACAGTGTCAATCATCAGGGTTTTGTTTTTTGTTTTTTAGGGTTTCTCTCTCAATTCTTCCCCAATTTCTCCGCCCTATTTCCCCTAAATGTATCAATTCCTTTGATGGATTTCGTGTGAATTGCAATGGGTTGCATCGGTTCCAAAAATGTGGTTAGGTCTTTCAGTTCTCCCTTACACGATTCACATTTTTCCACACATTTTTTGGGTTCTTCGTCTTCGAAGAATCACGATCATGATCATAATCGCGATCATCCAATTGAGCCATCGACGAAGATCAACAAGGGAACACGTAGACGATACCATGATAAGATCAGTAAGAACAAGGACAATCACGTTGTTATTAATGATCCATTATCCGAAACTTCAAATTCCGATTCGATTAATTTCAATTTTGGAAGATTAACTGAAGCAGAACACATCGCCGGCGCCGCTGGATGGCCCTCTTGGCTTAGTGCCGTCGCCGGTGAAGCCATTCACGGTTGGCTCCCTTTAAAATCCGATAGCTTCCAAAGATTCGAAAAGGTACACGATACTACAATTCAGTAACATAATCCCAATATTTCTTCCATTACTATCTTCTAGGTTACAAGGTATAAAGATTCACTTGAACAATATCTTGAAATCAAACCATGACTTCATTATACTACTTAAATCCTTTGTATCTTCTTCTTCAAATATGATTATGTCAACCAGATTTGTTTCCATTCAGATTGGACAAGGTACATACAGTTGTGTCTATAGAGCACGTCACATCGAGAGTGGCAAAATGGTTGCATTGAAGAAGGTGCGATTTGACATTTTACTTCCAGAGAGTATCAAGTTCATGGCTCGAGAGATCACAATCCTCCGTAAGCTCGACCACCCTAACATCATAAAACTCCAAGGGATAATCACATCCCGATTATCACGTAACATATACTTCGTCTTTGAATACATGGAACACGATCTTTCCGGTCTTCTATCATGTCCCGACATCAAGTTCAGTGATTCCCAGGTTTTGTAACACGTAATTCCATTCCAATTTCCAATTCCAATTCCATCGATACATTCTGATTCCGATTCCGATCCACAAACCATATGATGTTATTTTTGGTGCGCAGATTAAATGCTATATGAAACAACTATTGAACGGAATCGAGCATTGCCACTCACTTGGAGTACTACATCGAGATATAAAAACCGCGAATATTTTGGTGAATAATGAAGGGATTTTGAAGATTGCGGATTTTGGTCTTGCGAATTTTTATTGTCAAAGGAGTACCCAATCAATGACTAGTCATGTTGTGACTTTGTGGTATCGGCCTCCCGAACTTCTTTTAGGGTGCACAAAATATGGGACGTGTGTTGATCTTTGGAGCATCGGGTGTGTTTTTGTTGAACTTTTTCTTCGCAAACCGATCCTCAAGGCACGAACCGAGGTCGAATACAAAATCTATAATCTAATACTGTCTGACAAAAAAAATTGCAGTTTTTATCCTATTGACATCAGTCTATGTAACCGAAAAAAATTACAGTTTTTGTCTTATTAAAATCAGTACGTGACCCGGTCCTTGTATATGGATGGGGTCAGGGGGCACGGATAGTATAACCTAGGTCAAGTACATAAACTATAATTTATTCTGATTGACAGAAAAATTACAGTTTTTGTCTTATTAATATCAGTCCCAGTATATGGATGAGGCGGGGGCACAGATCTATTTGCCCTTTTTTTTAATAGGGAATTCCTTCTTATATATAGTTTTGGTTTCTTTCATTTAAATATTGGGGATTCATTGTTATTGTTACACGATGTTTTATTTTAGGTGGAACAATTGCACAAAATATTCAAGCTGTGTGGGACTCCTCCTGATGGGTATTGGAACAAGTCGAAGCTTCCTTTTGCAACGATGTTTAAACCTCATCGTAATTACGAAAGTACCCTTCGGGAAAGATGTAAAGAAGTCCCGAAAACTGCGATTGACCTTATCGAGACTTTACTTTCCGTAGAGCCTCACAGACGGGGGACAGCTAAATCTGCCCTAGAATCCGAGGTATGTTTCACTTTCGCAGCTTACGGAATCAATTCAATGACCAAAATCAAGACTTGAAGAAGTTTCTCATTTTTTTGATCTTAATTAAAACAGTATTTCAAAACGAAACCCTTTGCGTGTGATCTCGCTAGCTTGCCGAAGTATCCCCCGAACAAAGAAATCGATGCAAAAGTCCGTAAGGAAGCATGTAGGTTAGTAGGTTTCACTTTTCAGCTGTTTTCGGTGGCAATTTGGTAAAATAACGTTGATGAATTGAAAACTGTCAGAAAGAAGCCAGGTGGCATGCTTAGGGCATCTGGAGCAGCTTCAAGAAATCCAAGAATGGTGCGAACAAGTAGCCAAGAGCAAACTAGTTTCCGTAAAGTGGGTCCTACAAAGGTGAATCCAGATAGAAACAATGGCATCAATGGTGGATTCCGTGACACGGTATCGGAGTATTCACAAAATACAGAAAGGTCCGGTGAATCTGACATCATCCCGACACAACCCACACCTTCAAACGGTGGTTTCGTGTGGGCAACACGGCGGCAGAAGCAGAATCAGAAACAGAAACATCCGGCGACTGGCGGCACCACCCAACGTGGAGGCGCAATGGCGGTGTGTGTGATATATTCTTCTTCAGCCGATGGAGAATGTAGGAGCAGCAGGGGTTTTAGAAACCGAAGGGTTTGCAGTGGTTCTTTTGATATATCTCACAATTTACCAAATGTAAGTTAAAGTTGTGTTGTTAACTTTTAACTTTTATGATTTAATAATGATTTATTCCTATTTTTATTTTGTGACAGGCTTCGGTTCCCACGAACGAATCTGATAATGATTGACCAGGTTCAAGAAAGTCAAACGTTCATATTTTGATGGAGGTAAATACAAGAATACAAAAATAAAACAATTTGAAATGAAACTAAAACAATATAGTTTATAAAATGAAAATGATCCTGTATTTACAAAACCAATAACAATCGATACATCAATATGTACAACAACTTACATTACAATGACCCGTATCGTTTAACCACTCAAAATTGACATTGAAGAAACAATGAAATTTTTTTACTTTTTGTTACTTTTCTAACTCGGTTTAAGCAAAAATTCACCTTTTTTTTTTTATTTTTTTACTGGGATTGCAGCTGTACTTACAGTGGGCAGGAACATTTTACCAAGAAAAGAAGGACGAATGATTTCAAGAGGAATTGGAATTGTGATCATCTGCGACTAATGTGGGTATTTGACCTTGATTGACAAAGTCAATCTTGTTTAATCTCAAACAGCAAAGAATTTTCTCCGGTAATTCTTCTGGTTTTTGAGCCTGTATGTTTTTTTTAACAAGAAAAATATTAGGGAGGGAAAAAGTTGTAATAGTTTGAAAATACATCAACAATTCATGATTAGATTACCTGAATTGTTAAGCCGAGATTCATAATCCCGTGTTTTAGACGTTCACGAAATGCATCCAATCCTTTTCTTGCTATGTAACTAAATCGATGAATATCAAGGTCAATTTCAAAGTAATTTGATCCCTTAAAGAAGTTGTGTTGAGGGCGTGAGAGAACGGGTTTTTCATTGTAAGAGTGCAAAAGTTTCCTCTCAGTGCTACTTGAGACAAGGTCATCCGGGTTCACCACACCCACCATGATCTTCAATCGATCTCTGAAAGGCACTGTTGTTTCTTTTGTGAAACCCCGAATCTTTTCCATTTCATCATCCACTAAACTCTTTAAACGTACGTATCCAACTATTATTATCTCAAACTTAAACTTAAAATATATTTATATTTAAAATTTTAAATTTTAAATTACCTTAATGCTGTCCTGAAGCTGGGGAGGGATATCTTTCTCGTAGGTTTCAGAAAGCTTGAAATACAAAACAAGATTCAACCCCTCGCCATCACTGTCACTATGGAACATCTGAGCAGGATAACTAGGCAACTACATATGTAACAACATATTATTAACATAATATGTACATTTCGAGTACTTTAAAAAAAAAAAAAAAAAAGGGAAACCTGAATATTGACAATTAGGAGGGGGGGCAAATTGCCATCGCCTTGTAAGGAAGGAAGCTCGAGGTGTTTGGCAATGTGGTTGATTTTTTTCGGGGATACAAAAAGATCGACACCAAATGGAATGTAAGGGCTATAACTTGGAGCAGCTTTTTTCGATTTATCTCTGCGTTCCATTTATATTTAGGTTAAAATAATAAAATGTGATGAAATAATGAATTAAATCATTAATTAAAAAGTTTGAAAAATTACATACTTGAAATAATTTTCGCCTCTGAGAGTAATATTTGAGGGGTCAATAGCCGACCAACATCCTGCAAGCGGTTTTTCATCTGTACAACACGGAATCAAGAATCCAGCTCGGGGACGATAAAAGAACTTCTCTGTAGCACCTGGATTTTATTGAAACAACCCATAAAGTTGAAGGGCTAAATGTGAAAATAAATGAAGGAAAGTACAAAGTGTTGTAGACATACGGTGGGTTTGGTCGTCTCCATCGGTGGCTCGTTTTACAGCAAGCTTTATAACGGTGGGTTTTGTGGTATGATTTTGTGAGACGGAATTATGAGTGTTGGTGATTTGATCATGGAAACTAGCAGAAGGGAACAGGTGGGGTCCACTACCAGACATCATCAAGATATGGGATTGGGTTTTATCATCTTTATCACAACCATTATAGCTGCTATAACTACGTCCGAATTTGTTTGTAGGGCTTGAATCACCATGATTCCCTACTGAGTAGTATGATGAGTATGCATCTTCTAAATCTGTCGAGCACTTATCTTGCTTCAATGTCTTCTTTGTCATAATCTCATCGTCTACTTGGAAATAATCTTCATCCCCTTCCCCGTTTGGTTCATCATCATCACCATCACCATCATCGTCTTAGTTCAAACAATCAAGCAAACTGGGAATCAGTATGACATTTGTGAAATCAATCAATTATTATTGACTTTTTGAACCATCTTTTTTGGCTTCTTGTTGCCATAAACACTATCTTTTTCTTATTTTATGGCCCAAAAAATCATCTTTTTGCCAATGAGACCATGTTTTCGGCCTTTTTATTGTCAAGAAAACCATCTTTTTCGGCTTTTGTCGCCAAAAAGACCGGGCGTGTTTGGCAAAAGTAGCTGGAAGCGGGTAGCAGGGTAGCATGTAGCGGGTAGCTGTAGCTTTTATTTGTTATACGAGTGTTTGGCAAAAGCTAAAAGTTAGAAGCTCCCAAACGCTTCCAAAAGCTCCATACCAAACACGCCCAATGTTTTTAATTTTTCAATGCCAAAAGACCATCTTTTCGACTTTTAAAAGCCAAAAACACAATCTTTTTGACTTTTTAATTCCAAAAAGATCATTTTCTGGCTCTTTTTTACCAAAACACCATATTTTCAGCATTTTATTGTCAAGAAAACCATCTTTTCCACTTTTTGTTGCCAAAAATACTATCTTTTCGACTTTTTTATTGCCAAAAAGGCAATCTTTTGGCTTTCGACAAATATTGCCAAAGAACGATGGTCTTTTTGTTGCCTTTACATTTTCATGATATGTCCAAAATTGATCATTCTTGCAAACTCGAGGGGACTATTTCAATCCCTTTATGTGAAAATGGATCAATTTGTGTTACATATCTCGCAAACAAATAAAATTCATGGGTAAGACACTGACATCTCATATGAGATGACATGCAGTGTTCAAGTCTTAGGGGTTACAATTAGGAGTTGGCCAGCAGAGGGTATACAATATACATCGTCTAAAGGGTGAGCCCTCTCCCTCTACCCTTGCAAAATAATCAGGGAACCCATTTACTTAGGTTGTAAGTTATCCATGACATAATCATTTCTAAAGTTTTATTTAAAACCAAATCATTATCACAAAAAAAAAAAGTAAAAATATCGGCTGATCAACCCAACCTTTTTGACCTTTAATTTCTTTTTTTCCATTTTTCTAAGAACAGATAGAATGGTTGAATAAATTATTTATATGAAGTGAAGTAATTACCTCCATGCACGCTAGCAAAATCATCCTCAGATACCGCACCATCACCATCACCATCAATGCTGCTAATTGTATCAAAAAATGGGTCGTCTACTGTAAAAAGAAGCTTTAATAAAAAAACTAGAAATAAAAACATAGTTTCATTAATTTATTTATTATAACATCCCACTTTCACTTGTTATTACGAAATAGTACAATCGGTAGTATAACGCCTTAATAAAAAACTAAAAGTAGAACGCTTTAATTAAAAAAAAATTAAAGTGGGATGTTAATGTTATAATACATAAATAAATAAAAGTACATTGCTATTTCTTGCACAAGTTAAAAAGAAAAGAAGATTGTACCCTTACCATTAGCATTGGTGTGTGATTCGGTATGACTCGGTATAGAAGTACGAAAGGATGACACTGAGTCCCGAGAAACCGACATCCTATCAACATTATCAGTATCACCATCACCACCAATCGGAACCGAAATGGAATCAGTCTCTCCCTTCTTCTTTGTTTTGTCGTGCTTACGTGTCTTTCTACTTCGATGACGCCGTGATCTCCTCGGTTTGATTGTTTTCACGGGGCTCGAAGCACAACTACCCATTTTTTACGTATTTATAAAACAATTGCAATCCTTTGATCCCTCAAAAGCATCAAGAAACGTCTCCGGGTCCCCCAAAAGTTGATCCCAAAACTGATACGAGTTAAAAGCTGATAGTTGCTAGAATATTAACATTGACATAGGTAGGAGGTAGGCCCCACTTGTTACATAGACTCAGTGGCGGATCCATGACGGAAATTAAATGAGGTCCGTTTAATTACAAAAAAAAACATGAAAGTATAAAATTCTAAGATTTTGGATTTTTTTCGGCATAAGTGGGCACCAAAGATGGGAGGTTTTAGTAAAAGAGGAATTTTTTAAAGATATTTTTAGTAATATATGGGTGGGACCCACTTCCAAGTACGTAGTATATAACTAGACATGACGCAAGATTGTTGGCTTTAGTACACTTTTGGTGTGCATTGGACTGTGATTAAGAACTAGATTGATGTCCGTAGAACATGCAAATTTTTGGTACAAAAATAAATTGGGACCTATTTACTGTTAGATCTCTTATATGGTGCAAAAGACATTAATGTCCTCATTCATACCATTGAAAATATCCCCTACAAAATTTATCGAGTCTTGAGTAACAAAAGGGGCCATAGAGGAAACTTTTTTAGTACATTATGAAAAATATGGTGGTTTTGAAATATCAATTTCTACAACATTGGTATTACTTTATGTAAAATCCATTGGATATAAAAAAACATACCTTACCTTAGCAAGCTGCAAAAATATTCCAACAAAAGCCGATATCAGGATTCCTAACACAAGAATTCTGCGATAACATCAATCAGATAGTTCAAATTTCCAATGCTGAAAGAACTTTTTGACATAAATGAACCTCTTCAATGGAAATCAAATAACTAAAATGTATGATAAGATGAAAGCGTGATGAGTAAAATAAACCAAATGGTCCCTAACTAATGATTATTCTTTAGAAAAAAAAACAAAACTATATATAGTTTGCAAGAATGGATGATTTTCAACGCGTTGTGAGAGTATAAATGCAAAAATAACCATTCTCCTTGACAATTTTTTGCCCGAAATCTTTCATTTATATAAAGTACATTGTTCTTTTGTGTTTTATCGTTGTTCATGTTTTTATTGGCATAATATATAATGACAAAACTCAAAAAAAATGAGAAAGAAATAATTATTGCAATTCACGAGAATTAATTGCCAACCTCATGAAACCCAAAATACATAAAATAAAATTCAAGCCACAAATATCTCATACGTATAGACATACAAATAGATATTCCCAAAAGTACAATAATTTATGTCAATGCAACAGATAACATAATTTGAAAATTTGGAATCATGCAAAATTCACCAAAATGGGAACAAAAAGAAGAAATAAATACCCTTTCAAATGAATTTTCCCATAAAAACAAAAAAAAAATGGCTAAATTTATCAAATAAAAAAGAAGCATGAAAACAAAAAATTGGGGAAGATAATGCATATAATTTGGATTTAAAAACTTCTTTTTATTACATAATGAGATATATCGAACAATACAGACAATAAATTATACTCGTAGAGAGAGAATTGGGAAAATAATGCATCTAACATTACAAACAATGAATACGTATAGAGAGAGAAAGAAGAGAGAGAGACCTGTAATTAATGAAACTATCAAGAGGCTAATGAATTTACAATCTCCTATCTTTCTCTCTCTCACTCTCTCGCTCGATCACTCTGACGAATTGAAGGAAGCCACCATGGGAGGAGAGGGGAGGGGGAAAGCAGAAGGTGGGTCCGACTGTTGTCGGATCCGGGTTCAACAATCACAACCAAATCGATCTATTGATTCTCGTTGTTTCTCAAACCAATGCCAAGTTTCAGAAATTTTGAATTTATAAAGATAATCTCCGAGAAGCATTGTGTGTATGTGTCTCAGAGAGTCTTTCGATTTCAAACCCCTGTTTTTTCCTAAGATTACGATGGGATTGGGAGGAAGAAGAACACCCTCGCCCTCCATTTTCTTCGCTTCCCACATTTTCACACAATTGTGCTTCATTTTGTGCACATTCGTTGCTTATGAGTCCAAAAGAGGCTGACATTATTGGAATGGAGGGATTTATTAGATTTTTTCAAGGTGAATTCTAATAAATAGTAATATATTATTATTATTTTTTATTTCAAATTTTTGTAAATTATAATTTTTGTTACCTATAATAACAAAAATGATAGTGTCATTAGTAATTTATTTTTTTGATTAAAAACGATTTGTCAAGTATACGTTTAAAATCGAGTGTGAGTAATTTTCTATCGATTTTATTGGTTTTTTCGCTTAAATTTTGTATTTTATCCGTATGATTTGTTATAGATAAATTACACTTTGAATTCATCCATTAATAAACAAATAAATTAAAATCATCACACCCACATTTGATACTTAAGCTGTGTTGCATCAATCAAAGACACGATTGTTATAGGATATTGTCAAATGGATAACATATTGCCTTGAAAACGAGAAAATAAATTATTATCATAACGTTTCAATTCACGAAAATTGTATAATGCAAGCATTTTCACGACTCTTATAGCTTTTGGAGTAAGTTTCTATTTAAAAACAAAATCATAAAATAAATTGAAGATGCTCCCAAACTATAATTATGCATGGTAATACTTGTTGAATGAACACCTTTCTAGAAGTGTTGTATTAAGAGGATATTTGAGATTAGGGATGAGCATATGGACCGGGAACCGGCCGGAACCGGAACCGGCACCGTAACCGGAACCCGATGGAACCGGTCTGGCCGGGACCGGGACGTTATTTTTATGGATTTTTGGAACCGGAACCGTATGATGCTATTTTTCGAGGACCGGTTCCAGCATTTGAAGACACGACAAGAACCGGTAGGAACCGGGAACCGGTAGAACCGCCGGGCCGGTTCGGTTCTTGATTTTGGCCGAAGCCGGTTTCCGGGTCGGGTCCGGTTCAGGCCGTTCCGGCCGGTTCGGTCCTTTTGCTCATCCCTATTTGAGATTGCTTTTAAAATAACTTTTTGATTTTTAGCTTTTTGAAAAAGTTAAAAGATTCAAAAGATGTTTGAGAATTAAAAAAGAACTTTTAAAAATAACTTTTTGTCAAGAAGAAAAAGAAGGCTTTTCAAAAGTCATGAAATTATATCTGTGACAGCCCGAAATTTCCATTTGAACAAACTCTACCGTCTAGCACTTCAATTAAAAGTCAAATTCTTTTCTGCTAATTTTTAGCTCGGTTTAATGTCCGGTTGGGTATTTTTGATATTTATTTTCTTGAGAGAACAAATTAGAGGAAGTATACTTTAAGATATTGTGCAACATTTAAGTCACAAAACTCCAAGAGTTGGGAGTTTTCGGCCCAAAATAGTGTTAGGGCCGAAAACCCTAAAGGGTATATAAATGACACTTAGTCATTTTTAGTCATTTTTTTCCCATTTCCAAGTCAAGAACAATTCTCTCTCAAGTATCATTCGAATTTTGGTCAAGATCTTCAAGATTGTAAGTGTTTCCTTCCTTGTTTAGTTGATCTCTTCCAATATCTAGTGATCTTACATGATTTCATCCATGAAATCATTCCATTTTCTTAGATCTTCAAGTGTTCTTCATTTCACCAAGAACACCAAGAACACACATTAGTGTTTTGGGCCGAAAACACCCTTCTTTGCTTCCATATTGTAAGTATCTATCTCCTATACTTGTTATCTAGTAAGGATACTTGATTTAGGGCCTTGAAATCGTCTTTTATCCAAGAACAAAAGGTGTTTTCGGTCTAGTGCATCTCCTTAGACCGAAAACCCTTATAAAGGGTGCAAAATGACTTTAAGTCTTTCCTAATACTTAGTATTGAGTCTAGAACACTTAATTGATTGTTAAAAGCCCTTGGAAATCACCTTATGCATCAAAGACCATGGGTTTTCGGTCAAAACCATTTGGACCGAAAACCATATGGACCGAAAACCACAAGAACCGAAAACTCCAAGAAACATATCACTTGGACCGAAAACTCCCTTAAGTGGCTTTACAACCCTCTTATGCAATCCTAAGTGATTATAACACTACCATTTAAGGATTTCCTAGTCCTTAAGGTGTTATTTTTTTCCTGATTAGTTGAATAAACACTAATTGTATTCATATATGTGTCATTATATGTTAAATAGGATCCGTGTGTGTGCTCAAGTCTTCACTTGACACTTAGCATCCTATACCATCCGTTCTTCCAAACCACTCACTACAGGTGAGTTCATACCCCTTAATCAACCTTTTAAATGATTTTAAATACTTTTACAGGGGGGGGGGGAATACAAGTTGAACTATTATAGTTATTATATTAATCACATGTGATTAATAACTATCGAACATATGAATTTTCTTACTTTTCAAACTATGTTATCAATCAAACTACTTCAATCTGTTTTGCAAACTCTTTTACATGTTAAATACTTTTATTAAACTTATATTTTGTCAAATGCATACCTATATAGATATAGTTATATAAGTAGGATTGAAAGGACTTAGGACTGATAGCTCGCCTTGCTTCCTGTTCCTTGTTTGGTTGTGGACTTAGGGTATTGGTTATTTGTCCGAAGGTCGTTTGAATCTTAGTTATATATTATGTATATGTATATAGATATAAAAGTTCCTTCATTCAATTCGATACCTTTAGGTAGCAAAGGTATACAATCATGTTCATTTATACAAACAACATTGCTAGTAAACTATAATAGGTATAGTTTAGGAAGTTACTAATACTAATACAAGAACAATGAGACATACAATGAGTCAGTTCATACATGAGTCAATAACATACAGATAGAGAATACTATGATGAGAAACAAACAATAACATATAGATAGAACATACAATTATGAGAAACAGAGAGAACATACATACATACTAGACAGAGAGAGAGAACATACAATACAGTTAGTACACACAATACATATACAAGAACATTACAACAGTTATGTGAGCCACGTAACGGGGCATGACATCACCTGTCATGGCTCGTTTTGTATCCAGAGTCTCCTATAAGGAGAGCGTTGAATTTGTGTATAGATCTATACTGGATTGACTATCCTACACCTTGCTGTTCGCTACAGTGGGACTTGCAAGTCTACGGGTGCCAAATGTCATTTCTTCCGACATCTTTTATCGTCGTGTTTTTAGTCGGTAGTATGGTACAGGCATATCACATGTTACTTTAAATAACAATTGGTTTAAGGTAATTAGTACAACAGTAGTTACTTAATACAACACTACAGTACTTTATTATTTCCCCATTGCATTCACTTTGTGACCTTCACATAATGAACAGTAATGTGAAAGCTATATTTTTGGTTAATGATAGTCATATTTGGGAAAATACACACTTTTACAAGAAACAAACATATATTTCATTTGATGCCTTGGTAGAAGGCTACGTTTAGTAGAAAATATAGGATTTTCTAGGAGATACAAACATTTACAAACATTTACAAACTTATACATCAAGTACATACAAACACTTTCATACAAACAATGACACTAAAATACTTATGAACTCACCAGCTTTAAAGCTGATCAACTCTTTCAAAATAACTTGTATTCTCAGGTCATCAGTAAACAGGTACCGATGCCAGGTTTTGAGAAGATGGAGCTCGTTCAAGACTCATCTCTTATTTTTTATTTACATTTTTGGTGTCTTATAAACTTCAGAGAACACACTTGTATGAAATTATATTATTAATGCAATGGATGATGTTGTTGTTTGTTTACTACTATGCATTGTTGTGATATTGTACATGACGTCCTCCACCCCCGAATGATTCCGCCGTTCCGGTTTTGGGGTGTGACAATATATTTTTGTGGCTTTTGGCTTTTCAAAAGTCATGAAATTGTATCTTTTTGTGGCTGTTGTATATATATATATATATATATATATATATATATATATATATATTAAAATTTTTAATTGAAAATTTTCGAAAAAAAAAATTTCAAATATTATTTTCGTCATTTATATTTTCCAAATATAAATACCAAAAAACATTAAAAAAAACATTTTTTTTACATATTCTAGTAGAATATTATATATATCTGAAAAATCTAGTAGAATATTTTAACATTTTAAAAACTACATTATAATATTTACAGTGTAATATTTAATTAGAATATTTTCACGTATTTTTCAAAAAAAAAAAAACGGTTAACTTTTTTATTTTTTTTAGGTAATTAAAGTGACGAAAATAATAATTAAAAAAAGAATTTTCGGATTTTTTTCTTTTATTTTGCATTTTAAAATTATTTTTAGATTTGATACGGTCTTACAAAATTAGCATGGTCTCAAATGAACCTGAATATATATATATATATATATATATATATATATATATATATATATATTATTTTGTTATTGTATGCATAAATGTGGGCCAATCATTTTACTTATTTTAAGAAAGTGATTAATACATATTATTGAATTAAATATAATTGAAAAATACTATCTAATTTAACTAGAAGGGTATTTTAGTCAATTAATATAGATTTAATAAAGGAAATTTGCATATTTTAAGGGATCATAGATTCTATTAATTTTAAAAATCTGATTTTACGAATTATAAGGTTTTTAATTCGGACATTCTGACAAAATATGTTTGAGTATGTTCAAAAATAAAAATATTCTTGAACCATAAAATAATAAAAATATTCTTGAACATATTTTTTGATCATGACTTTAAAATTTTCTTGTAGAATAACAAAATTCTCGAACCATCAATTGAAGAATTAAAACAAAAATTACATTAATTCTTATAGAATACATGTAACAATTGCTAAGAATTACATTTATTGTTAAAGAATAAAACTAAAAAACTTTCAAATCTGAAAAAAAAAACATCAAAATCTACCAAAGACACTAATACATTCTAAAAGAATAATGTTGCTAAGAGGCGTCGTTCAAATTTCGTGGTCCGTTGTTCAAACATCAGCTTCTGTGGAAACTAATCCAATGAATAAATTAATGAGAAAATATGCATATTCCATTCCAACATAATTGGAATTCGTGATTCCATTTTGATAGAATTGGAATTCATTACCAA